CAATTATGATTTTTATGTCGCTCCACATTATTGCTTATTTATTGCATAATCGTTTTAGGCAATATTAAAAAACCAAATTTGGGATCCATCAAAGTTGGAGAATTGGCTGGTGGTACCGAGAATTTACCATTTTTGAAAGTACCATTTTGACCACCTTTGCAAACATCCTATAAATCTCTTGCTTTTGTTAACCATCTGGTCAGGGTGCTAAAATCATCAGCAAACCTTTTTTAACCTAATGCAAAAAACTGCATCAAAAAATATTTGTCGCGAGACAAGTTAGGTCACTGTTTATGAACCGTACTTTTAAAAGTACCGTGGAAGAATATGGGTTAACCAGACACGAATACATGTTGCAGTTTTGTTGATAAGATTCCTCCTAAACTAGATGACCATTCCTAAGACCATCATGCGTGTTAGGTTCGTTCTAGAGGTAGATTACTTTTTATTCATTTCGGTATGTTAGATCTAAAAATAATAAGAAGGTAGTTGAACATCATTATTCCTTATTCTCAATTGATATTTTGGTGTTCAACCAAGAGACAGTTCGACGTGGTTGATGACATTCCATGGAGGTGTCCAATCAGAACACCACAGAAGAACACCTGATAGCAGATCGGCCAATAATAGTCTCAGACAATGGTCTATGGATCGTAAGAATGGATAATGAGCGGCAGAGTTTAACGATAATTAGCAGAAGACTCGGGACTCTGTGAGATTCGGAGACGATAAATGGGGATGTCGATCGGAGGATAGAGCAGTCTTAAGCCAGCCCAGTTGATAGGGTTGTTCCAGTACTCAGGGGCCAGTTGACCAGTTTCGATCAGCTACGCTATGTTTTGATAAGCTTGCTAGTCGTAGTAAACCAGTAATTTATTTTTCTTAATTTGATGTGAGCGTTTAATTAAGCTGTCTTGCTTCTAAATTAGGAGTTCAGACGTGAATTTATAATAATATTGTTTTCAATTGTCTATTCCAGTTTCCTCCATTCATCTAAATCAATGCAGCTAGTAACAAGTAATTTTTATTCAGGTTCAACCAGACACGAATACATGTTGCAGTTTTGTTGATAAGATTCCTCCTAAACTAGATGACCATTCCTAAGACCATCATGCGTGTTAGGTTCGTTCTAGAGGTAGATTACTTTTTTATTCATTTCAGTATGTTAGATCTAAAAATAATAAGAAGGTAGTTGAACATCGTAATTCCTCATTCTCAATCAATATTTTGGTGTTCAACCAAGGGACAGTTCGACACGGTTGATGACATTCCATGGAGGTGTCCAATCAGAACACCACAGAAGAACACCTGATAGCAGATCGGCCAATCACAGTCTCAGACGGTGGTCTATGGATCGAAAGAATGGATAATGAGCGGCAGAGTTTAACGATAATGAGCAGCAGACACAGGACTCTGTGAGATTCGGAGACGATATATGGGGATGACGATCGGAGGATAGAGCAGTCTTAAGCCAGCACAGCCAATAGGGTTGTTCCAGTACTCAGGGGTCAGTTGGCCGGTTTCGACCAGCTACGCTATATTTTGATAAGCTTGCTAATAGTAATAATCCAGTAAGTTCTTTTTCTTAATTTGATGTGAGCGTTTAATTTAGCTGTTTTGCTTCTAAATTAAGAGTTCAGACGTGATTTTATAATAATATTGTTTTCGATTGTCTATTCCAGCTTCCTCCATTCATCTAAATCAACGCAGCTAGTAATATGTAATTTCTATCCAGGTTCAACCAGACAAGAATACATGTTGCAGTTTTGTTGATAAGATTCGTCCTAAACTAGATAACCATTCCTAAGACCATCATGCGTGTTAGGTTCGTTCTAGAGGTAGATTACTTTTTATTCATTTCGGTATGTTAGATCTAAAAATAATAAGAAGGTAGTTGAACATCATTATTCCTTATTCTCAATTAATATTTTGGTGTTCAACCAAGAGACAGTTCGACACGGTTGATGACATTCCATGGAGGTGTCCAATCAGAACACCACAGAAGAACACCTGATAGCAGATCGGCCAATAATAGTCTCAGACAATGGTCTATGGATCGTAAGAATGGATAATGAGCGGCAGAGTTTAAAGATAATGAGCAGCAGACTCAGGACTCTGTGAGATTCGGAGACGATATATGGGGATGACGAACGGAGGATAGAGCAGTCTTAAGCCAGCACAGCCGATAGGGTTGTTCCAGTACTCAGGGGCCAGTTGACCAGTTTCGATCAGCTACGCTATGTTTTGATAAGCTTGCTAGTCGTAGTAATCCAGTAAGTTATTTTTCTTAATTTAATGTGAGCGTTTAATTTAGCTGTATTGTTTCTAAATTAAAAGTTCAGACGTGAATTTATAATAAAATTGTTTTCAATTGTCTATTCCAGTTTCCTCCATTCATCTAAATCAATGCAGCTAGTAACAAGTAATTTCTATTCAGGTTCAACCAGACACGAATACATGTTGCAGTTTTGTTGATAAGATTCCTCCTAAACTAGATGACCATTCCTAAGACCATCATGCGTGTTAGGTTCGTTCTAGAGGTAGATTACTTTTTATTCATTTCGGTATGTTAGATCTAAAAATAATAAGAAGGTAGTTGAACATCATTATTCCTTATTCTCAATTGATATTTTGGTGTTCAACCAAGAGACAGTTCGACGTGGTTGATGACATTCCATGGAGGTGTCCAATCAGAACACCACAGAAGAACACCTGATAGCAGATCGGCCAATAATAGTCTCAGACAATGGTCTATGGATCGTAAGAATGGATAATGAGCGGCAGAGTTTAAAGATAATGAGCAGCAGACTCAGGACTCTGTGAGATTCGGAGACGATATATGGGGATGACGAACGGAGGATAGAGCAGTCTTAAGCCAGCACAGCCGATAGGGTTGTTCCAGTACTCAGGGGCCAGTTGACCAGTTTCGATCAGCTACGCTATGTTTTGATAAGCTTGCTAGTCGTAGTAATCCAGTAAGTTATTTTTCTTAATTTAATGTGAGCGTTTAATTTAGCTGTATTGTTTCTAAATTAAAAGTTCAGACGTGAATTTATAATAAAATTGTTTTCAATTGTCTATTCCAGTTTCCTCCATTCATCTAAATCAATGCAGCTAGTAACAAGTAATTTTTATTCAGGTTCAACCAGACACGAATACATGTTGCAGTTTTGTTGATAAGATTCCTCCTAAACTAGATGACCATTCCTAAGACCATCATGCGTGTTAGGTTCGTTCTAGAGGTAGATTACTTTTTATTCATTTCGGTATGTTAGATCTAAAAATAATAAGAAGGTAGTTGAACATCATTATTCCTTATTCTCAATTAATATTTTGGTGTTCAACCAAGAGACAGTTCGACACGGTTGATGACATTCCATGGAGGTGTCTAATCAGAAGACCACAGAAGAACACCTGATAGCAGATCGGCCAATCACAGTCTCAGACGGTGGTCTATGGATCGTAAGAATGGATAATGAGCGGCAGAGTTTAAAGATAATGAGCAGCAGACACAGGACTCTGTGAGATTCGGAGACGATATATGGGGATGACGATCGGAGGATAGAGCAGTCTTAAACCAGCATAGCCAATAGGGTTGTTCCAGTACTCAGGGGCCAGTAGGCCGGTTTCGACCAGCTACGCTATGTTTCGATAAGCTTGATAGTCGTAGTAATCCAGTAAGTTCCTTTTCTTAATTTGATGTGAGCGTTTAATTTAGCTGTCTTGCTTCTAAATTAAGAGTTCAGACGTGAATTTATAATAATATTGTTTTCAATTGTCTATTCCAGTTTCCTCCATTCATCTTAATCAATGCATCTAGTAACAAGTAATTTCTATCCAGGTTTAACCAGACACGAATACATGTTGCAGTTTTGTTGATAAGATTCCTCCTAAACTAGATAACCATTCCTAAGACCATCATGCGTGTTAGGTTCGTTCTAGAGGTAGATTACTTTTTATTCATTTCGGTATGTTAGATCTAAAAATAATAAGAAGGTAGTTGAACATCATTATTCCTTATTCTCAATTAATATTTTGGTGTTCAACCAAGAGACAGTTCGACACGGTTGATGACATTCCATGGAGGTGTCTAATCAGAAGACCACAGAAGAACACCTGATAGCAGATCGGCCAATCACAGTCTCAGACAATGGTCTATAGATCGTAAGAATGGATAATGAGCGGCAGAGTTTAACAATAATAAGCAGCAGACTCAGGACTCTGTGAGATTCGGAGACGATATATGGGGATGACGATCGTAGGATAGAGCAATCTTAGGCCAGGACAGTCGATAGGGTTGTTCCAGTACTCAGGGGCCAGTAGGCCGGTTTCGACCAGCAACGCTATGTTTCGATAAGCTTGCTAGTCGTAGTAATCCAGTAAGTTCTTTTTCTTAATTTGATGTGAGCGTTTAATTTAGCTGTCTTGCTTCTAAATTAAGAGTTCAGACGTGAATTTATAATAATATTGTTTTCAATTGTCTATTCCAGTTTCCTCCATTCATCTTAATCAATGCATCTAGTAACAAGTAATTTCTATCCAGGTTTAACCAGACACGAATACATGTTGCAGTTTTGTTGATAAGATTCCTCCTAAACTAGATAACCATTCCTAAGACCATCATGCGTGTTAGGTTCGTTCTAGAGGTAGATTACTTTTTATTCATTTCGGTATGTTAGATCTAAAAATAGACGACATCCACAGCAAACGGGAGCAACTGGGTACCGATTGTCTACGGTACGGCATAGATATCTGCGCTATTCAGGAGACTAAGGTTGTAAAACCGGATTCTTGCAGTCTTAGCAACGGATACAAACTATTATTGTTTGAGCAGAAAAATGGCCGGCACTATGGACTCGGTTTTGTTATCAGTCCCCGATTTATTGACTATGTGGTATGCTGGAACAGTATCAGTGATCGAGTAAGCTTTTTGGATCTAGAACTCCCTACAAAATCTGGAAAATTTATCAAATGTAGGGTGGTCAATGTATATGGGCCACACAAGAAACTTGCAGAAAATGATCAACAACTGTTGATTAATTTTTACGGCCAAGTTAGGGACGCTCTAAACGTCCCTGCTAATGTTGAGATATTTGTTTTGGGAGATTTTAATTCAAAGTTGGGAAAAATGACTGCTTCAGATAAGGACTTTGGTTTTGGTCGTTTCATGGGTAAACATGGTATGGGTTTGCGCAACGATATGGGAGAAAACTTGTTAGACTTGTTATCAGAATTTGACCTCTTTGCCTCCAACACTGGTTTTTATCATCCTGCTCGACATACGACCACCTACACTGGCTGGAGGAAGGACTGGAGTGCCGGGCGAAATAGTAAAAAGACGATCCCGGTCTATTCTCAGATCGATTTCATCCTGTGTCGAAGTAGGTCGAAGCCAATGCTACAAGATTCTAGATCTTATGCAGGCACCTTGACATACTCTGATCACAGATTTGTTGTCACTAGAGTAGATTTTAAGGACATCTGTCTTTGCTATAAACGCAACTCCAAGTCATCCTTAAAGTTCAACACCTCTGAACTCACCTCGAACCCCACCATTCAGGTGAAATATCGTCAATCCTTAGATGATAACTTAAGTAACACTGTTTCTGCTCTGGATCCAAATTCAGACTTGAATGGCTTACTTGAGTCCATAAAGGATGCTGCAAAATCGTCAATTGGTGTCATCAGACACAGGAAACGTAATCGCAGCGACGATGATGAGGTGAAAAACTTATCTAGCCAGCGTTACTTGTTGAGACAGCAGCTTAATGATAACCAGTCTTTAGACAGAACCTCACTTAGATCATCTATTAACTGCCTCACCAATCAGATCAAGCAGAGACTTTCTAACATACGATCAGCTGCTGCTGATGCTATCTGTAATACCATCAGTTCAACAACAGATAGTAAGAAAATGTTTGAAGCTGTTCGAACCCTGAACTTACCTAAAAGTAAAGCCCCTTCTAGTATTGGTGTTCATGATGAGCAAGGGTGCAATATTGCAACAGACACTGGTAAAGCTGCCGTAGTTGCTAAGTACCTTGAGCAACAACTTACTCGTGATGAAGCACCTTTAGAACCTTTTGTAGGACCTCCTCGCCCACTAGTTAAGCCATTCACTAGTGAAGAAATCGGATCAGCTGCTAGAAGTCTCAAAAATGGTCGAGCTAACGGCCCAGATGGGATTCCTAATGAGCTTCTCAAGTATTCTACTGGATCAGTACACAGACGTTTTGCAGACATTATCAATAGAAGCTTCGAGACCAATTCCTACCTTGACCCCATTGGACAGGCAAACATTACCCCCTTACAGAAGCCAAATAAGCCCATTGGTCCAGTGAAGAATCTACGACCCCTCACTCTCTCAAATGCTGTTAGAAAGATTCTTTCAATGGCAACCTTGAAGAGAATTGAGAATAAAGTCAATGCCTTCACTGGTCCATGGCAATGTGCTTACAAGCAGGGTAGATCATGTGCTGACATTGTATGGTGCCAGCGTGTGATGTTATCAGTTGTCCAGAGGAAGAGGTGGGAATACCATCGTATGGGGATCGACATGTCTAGTGCCTTTGACACTATACGACGATCTACCATCCTCGATCTTCTTGTTGAGTGTGGCTGTGATGATGACGAAGTCCGTTTGGTAAGACTTTTGCTTTCCAACACCAAGCTCAAAGTCAACATCAACGGTACACTGTCTGCTGAATTCCAGAGTTTTCTCGGTGCATTCCAAGGTGACTGTCTGTCTGGATGCTTGTTCACACTTGTCTTAGCGGGTGCCTTGCGTGACCTCCGTAACAGGCTTGAAACTGCAACGAATAGGCCTAACCCACCTATCACCGATATTGGTCTTCCACTTGACAGTGAGTATGCTGATGATATCGACTTCAATGATGAAGATGAAGACAATTTGAGGGAGCTGTTGCCTATTGCAACAGAAGTCCTTAAAGATTGGAATCTCTTCGTTAACGAAGACAAAACTGATTTCACTCATGTGTACTTAGCTGAAAAGGGAGCTAAAGACGATCAGGGTAAGCCAATTGCAGGGAACGAGCTCTGGAGAAAGAGTATCACGCTTGGCTCCATGCTTTGTAGTAAGGAGGACATCTCTAGAAGGATATGTCTGGGATATGCCGCGTTTAACAAATACAAGAAAGCTTGGAACCATAAGATCCCTCTGAGCAAGAGGCTTCTGTTGTATGAGGCTCTGGTAGTATCCGTTTTAATGTACAATTCATCTTGCTGGGCTGCCCCTAAATCAGTATTGGAAAAACTAGATATTGCTCACAGACGTCATCTGCGATCAATTTTGAATTACAAATACCCTCACATCATCTCCAACAAGAACTTGTATAAACGCTGCAATAGTGAACCATTGTCAGCTAAAGTGGCTCGTAGTCGGTGGAGGATGCTCGGACATGTACTGCGTGGGCCTACAGATGGCCCAGCCTATTCGTCGCTTGTTTTTGCTGTCAACACCTTACAGCTTCAAGGGCGGCGTGGAAGACCGCAGTCAAACCTTTTCTCACTGATTCTACACGACCTTAGTGTCCGAAAATTATCGTTAAATAATTTATGTGATTTGGACTATTTAACGTTAATTGCTCAGAATAGAGTTAAATGGAGAAGTATGCAAATTGCATGACTTTTGTTTGAGAAAGATTAGGGGACAGAAATGTTTACTTTGTTTACTATCTGTTTCTTAGAGCTTTTGTTTATAGATCTAAAAATAATAAGAAGGTAGTTGAACATCATTATTCCTTATTCTCAATTAATATTTTGGTGTTCAACCAAGAGACAGTTCGACACGGTTGATGACATTCCATGGAGGTGTCTAATCAGAAGACCACAGAAGAACACCTGATAGCAGATCGGCCAATAATAGTCTCAGACAATGGTCTATGGATCGTAAGAATGGATAATGAGCGGCAGAGTTTAACAATAATAAGCAGCAGACTCAGGACTCTGTGAGATTCGGAGACGATATATGGGGATGACGATCGTAGGATAGAGCAATCTTAGGCCAGGACAGTCGATAGGGTTGTTCCAGTACTCAGGGGCCAGTTGACCAGTTTCGACCAGCAACGCTATGTTTTGATAAGCTTGCTAGTCGTAGTAATCCAGTAAGTTCTTTTTCTTAATTTGATGTGAGCGTTTAATTTAGCTGTATTGTTTCTAAATTAAAAGTTCAGACGTGCATTTATAATAATATTGTTTCCAATTGTCAATTCCAGTTTCCTCCATTCATCTTAATCAACGCAGCTAGTAATACGTAATTTCTATCCAGGTTCAACCAGACACGAATACATGTTGCAGTTTTGTTGATAAGATTCCTCCTAAACTAGATGACCATTCCTAAGACCATCATGCGTGTTAGGTTCGTTCTAGAGGTAGATTACTTTTTCTATTAATCTCAGCATGTTAGATCTAGGAATAATAAGAGTACTACTACTACTACTATGTCGGAACTCCCCTCCCCTTCTTCAAGAGCGTCTAAGTAAGCTCCCTTTATCTTGCTCTACTATTTGTTACATTGACCTCTACCGCCCTTTAAGATAATCTTTTAATTTGTTACCTCTGAGGACCATAGTATACCATACAAGACATTTCTTTAACTCCACGTTACAGTTAGGTTACAACAACACATAGAAGAAAGGAAACAGAGAGAAGAATACGGCAGTCATCTATGGACTCTTTCAAAAGACTAACAGAACGCACATCCCGGTTTGATCTTTCTAAACTATAAATTTTATACTGGTATAGTATTGTTATCTATTTTTACCTATTGTTAACCTTTTATCCGTGCTAGTTAATCAAGGGTTTTGGTACTGGGCCATCCTGGTTAGCCTGCTATGGGCCGTTCCCTGCTTATGCAGGTGAATTTATAATAATATTGTTTTCAACAATAGTCTATTCCAGTTTCCTCCATTCATCTAAATCAATGCAGCTAGTAATATGTAATTTCTATCCAGGTTCAACCAGACACGAATACATGTTGCAGTTTTGTTTGATAAGATTCCTCCTAAACTAGATGAACCATTCCTAAGACCATCATGCGTGTTAGTTTCGTTCTAGAGGTAGATTACTTTTCTATTAATCTCAGCATGTTAGATCTAGGAATAATAAGAGTACTACTACTACTATGTCGGAACTCCCCTCCCCTTCTTCAAGAGCGTGTAAGGAAGCTCCCTTTGTCTTGCTCTACTATTTGTTACATTGACCTCTACAGCCCTTTAAGATAATCTTTTAATTTGTTACCTCTCAGGACCATAGTATACCATACAAGACATTTCTTTAACTCCTCGTTACAGTTAGGTTACAACAACACATAGAAGAAAGGAAACAGAGAGAAGAATACGGCAGTCATCTATGATTCACTCAAAAGACTAACAGAGGAACAACCCAGTTTGATCTTTTTCTAAACATCTTTTTTATCGGAAAAGTTTTGTTATAATTTTTTTACCCCAGACTTTTTTAAAAACCGTCATTTAAATCGGTTTTTTGGGAACCGGGGGCCACCGGTTCCCCCACCCCCATTCACACGTTTAAAAGTAGAATCTCGTCAGTCTGATATGTTCCTACTCTTACTACCACTATATTACCACTAATCTTACTTGCTCATAATCCCTTTATCGGGCTACAATTTTCAGACAGGGCTGATAGCTACATCATGATAAAACCAGACATAGGACCTGTCAGAAAGAAGATGTCAATATGTATGTGGGTGAACAAGAAGAAGTTGGCTGACGGTCCCAACTGTGTTCACCTACAAGACACTATCCTCTGATAGTGAGATAGTAATGAGGGACAGCTTCAGCAGCTTCTGGATATTAGGACGATACACCTTCACTTGGTTATCAGCATCACGTGACCTGTGGTATTATCAGGTGTGACTTGGTCACGTGGTAGTGGGGCTATAAGGTTCTATTACAATGGCAATCAAATAACTTCTGCTGCTACCAGGACTGGTGATAGAAAGCTGGGTATGGGAGGTTCCATTGTGATAGGGCAAAGTCAGAGTGCCACTACTTTAGAAGCGAACTTATACTCATTCGGAGGTGAACTTTTCAAGTTGAACATTTTCTCAAAGCAGCTGACAGACGAAGAGATCTCTGAGATGTACGAGTCTGGAATGTGCTCGGATTTTGAGGAATCTCTGGCTGAAGATACGTTCCTGAAATGGGACGATCTCCTGAACGACGCCCCGTTATGCAACGTGAAGAAGTTCGGCATTACACAGTGTCGTCTCATATTCATCAGCAGCCTACTAAAACTGCAGAACCAATTACCACTGATGCTGAGACGAGGAACGACAAAACCTCTAATATCGGAGCCTGGAACATTCTCTACAGTACTGACTTTTTATAACCAGGTCAGTGTCATTCTACTGTAACAGCTATTTATTGTAACAACTATTGTAACAACTACTGTAACAAATGCTGTAACAACTGCTGTAACAACTATTGTAACAACTGCTGTAACAACTGCTGTAACAACTACTCTAACAGCTACTCTAACAACTACTGTAACAACTACTGTAACAACTGCTGTAACAACTACTGTAACAACTATTGTAACAGCTTCTGTAAAAACTACTGTGACAACTACTGTGACAACTACTCTAACAACTACTAATACTATAACAACTCTAGCAGTCTTCATTCTCTATCTTAACAAGTTCAGTAAAAGTATTGAACTAAAATATAGTTCATGAAATTATCCAGGAGATAGCGAGCGAGCTGTTGGACGAACTAAGAACTATCTGCAACGTTCTTACGGAATCTAAAGGTCACATTCTAGACGATACCCTGATTAAGAATCTACTGAAATTCCACCGAAGAACTGAATAGTTCACCACAGGTGTTTTGTTATCAATTATCATTAAGGTGACATTGTTTAATTACACCTATCAACTACTTCAAAAATTAAAATGTCGCCATTTTCGACAGTCTGCTTTATTGTCAATACGAAACCATAATTTAGTTACGACCTTCCCTGTTTTTGTTTAGGTTTTGAATACTAAATATATCGATGGTCTGATGACTGATCCCAGACACGTTGCGAATCAAAAAACATTTAGCTGAAATTTATATGAGATTAATAGAACTAGGTGTAGAATTATGTAAAACTACCATTTGATGTTTATATAAACAAGTTTTGTTTAGATTTCTATTTAAACTAAAATAACAAATTGTATACCTGCACTTGTTTTAGAATGTCCATTGTGCATGAGGTGTCTCACCGTAGTGGTTAGGGAACCGCCCCTTGAACTTCTTGAACCGTTTTTATATTAAAAATACTCGAACATTTATCGTTCCAAATACTTCGAAACAATCTTTCGTTCGAAGCCTGTTCACATTTACGTAGGGGAGCGGGGGTTTGGATAGCTCATGTTGTGTGGTATTAGTACGAATTAGATACGTGTGAAGTGGTTTACTGAGGGAAAGGGGGTCTTAATTGGACAAAATATAGCTTTATCCGTAGTACGTGAACAATTCCTTACAAGTAATGTTCGGTTAAAAATATCACAGTAAGTCACAACGCGCGCTCTATCAGCTTATCTAACTTAAATTCCTCGTTAGAATGGTTATTTGATCAGAGCTGATTAATGAGCTGATATAAAATACCAGGGGACTGAATGAGAGACCCTGCAATGTATTTCATAACAATATGTACATGCCCAGCATGTTAATACCTGTCTGTTAATAGAGTGAGATCCAGTACTGCTATAGGCCTATATAACAGTGCTACTTTTATGGGGCACCTTGATGAGATCTGATTGTTTTTTGCTTCGCACACACATTACATATTTATATCACAGTGTGCAGTTATCTGATGACAGAAGTAATCTGTTGGGCGTGTAGAGGAACTATTATTATATACATTACTAGAAATCCCGTGGTCACAGGGAGGAAGGTAATTAGTATTTCTTTCGTAGTAACTTTTTATCGCATCTAAAAAGATCCGTCACAACCGAAGACACAGCCGGATTTAAACTGTTGCCTCGCACTAAACACATCAGGGGCAGCTTTAAACCAATCATCAACAGCTGAAAAGTTGGAATTTACGGGACTGCTAATTTTGTGTCAATGGCTAACACCCTTTAAACTGGGAAGTTTTCAATGACCGGACCTAAAATATCAGACTGTTTAAGTGGTCCGGCGGAGCTCTAAACAATCATCTCTAGAGGGAATGTAAACAAACTTTCTGTCTTTTCTCAAAAATGGTTCTTTTCTCAATGGTATATTTTCATTGCAAATGCAAGGAAGCTTAGAGTCTAGGTCATTCGTGTGGCTTGATTACTTGATTATGATATCCAATCTATAGCTCTATTTCCGGTGGTAAATTGTTCTGTCTTACCTTTAGAGCTTTAGCTCATACCTTACTTTTTCTGATGAATACAGTTTTCGTTCCGGATTCCATGTACCTCTGAACATTCGAATCGAATGTTTTTGTTAAAACACGTTCAACACAACCGTAAATTACCACAAAAACCGATCAAAATGGCGCTCGAAATCTTTGTTGCGTGCATGTGCGTGTTAACTGTAAACAATCCCTCGTTACCATGGTAAACTATGCAACCATTTTTGCTTTTTTCACCTTATGTGCACGTGGGGCGGTCGATACAGACAGACATTCTGCAATCAAAAAATATCCATCCAACCGATGAGATACAGACGATTTAAATATAACACACTTTAAAACACAACGTAACTTACCACAAAACCGATCAAACAGAGTTAATTTTTTGTTTTTAAAAAATCTTTTTTGCCGTGCATGTGTGCATTAAACCCGTTGCTATGGAACGTTTTGGTTGTTACCTAAATTCTATTTTTCATTTAATTTGCACGTGGGCGGGTCGTACATACATTCTACATCAGAAAAAATAATTCTTTGCATTATAGTTAGTAGCAGACTAGAAAACCCGTGTCACCAGGGAGGAGGAAAACTACTAGTATTTTTTGTTAGTGAGTTTAAATCGGTCCCAAAATATCCTTACACAACCGTAACAAAGGTGGATACAGCCGATTAAATGTTGCTCGAACTAAACACAAACGTATATCATCAAAAACCGATTTAAAATGCCGTTCCGCAATCATTTGCACGTGCACGGGCGTTGTTAAAAAATCCGCGGTACCATGGTTACTTTGCAACCTTTTGCTTTTTGCCGAATTTGCACGGGGGCGGTGTACATACATTCTACATTTACAGAAATAATTTCTCTTGAATTATAAGTTAAATTATACGTCCATAAATCATTTAATACATCATTTAGCGGTCATCATTTAGTACATGTGTTAGTCTTTATTTGAGGAGTCCTCTCATATTTAAAATTTCATCTTAATTGGTTATAATGGGATAATATCCTTCGTCCAAGTGGCCGAGCTGGGGGGGGCCTTTATTCACGAGACCAAAAACCTCCACTGTACAGATTACAACGTGTACAGCACCTCCTCTACACACAGCTCCTTCTCCACATTATTCCTTCATCTTCATGTATTTAGACTACCAAGCAAGCACCATCTAATCTAATATCTAAGAGCCACTCATCAGTCACGTACTTGTCATACATGGATAAATCACCACTATTGGAGTAAAGCATTGTACTATATTCTGTTCAGGACGGAACTATATATGATGTATACAGGGTATTGATTAAGACCCTGATTCAACTCGTTACTGGACCTATACCAGGCGAGATGGCTCATACCAGAAT